GAAAAATGCTATATATGGCTTCTACAAAAGAAAAGTAATTTACTGGGTAAGAAAAAGTAAGTAAATAATAATTAAAGTGTCAGGGACCTGTTACCCAGAACACAGCTCTTACATTAGATCAAGAACTACAAAACAAAAATCAATGGGGAAACATTCCACTCTTGATTAAAAGAATTTTGGGGTTATGAAAGTTTGGGGGAAATTGATTCACTCCAGCACAACTTGTTCTAATTCTACAACCCCTCTTTACAGAAGTAGCAGAACAAGAAGGTATAAAGGAGGAGCACACGAAAAAAGAAGCTCTGTTTCCTGAAACCTGAGAATTCTGATTGAAAAGCCCCAGCCTTCCTCCCTCACCCTTGATGATGGCAACTTTTCCAAAGTAAACACTTGCAGTCCATCCTCAGTGACGTCTCTACCCCAACCCCGAGAAGAAAAAATTAATGGGGAGGGGTCAGGCAGTTGTCATCAATACTCAGAGCAGGTTTTATGCTGGGGACAGGGAACTATCCCCCTTGTAAAAGTCTGTCACATCCCAAAGGAAGTGTTTCGCACGCTGGTTCATTCTTTCCCACAATTAACCTTCTGATTTGTGGATGTCAACTCTAGAGGATGCCTGAAAGACTAGGAAAAATTCAAAGGAAGATGAAGATAGAACTACTAACCAGCCCACATTCTCTGAGCAACAGTGAGATCCTAGAGGGGAGACATCTTCCTACATCCTATAGAGTGTAACAGCCACCAGTACACACACTCCTGACAATCCCAGCACTCCTAACTTTTTACAGTCTCAACTTTTTACACACAACAAAAGGCCACTTATTAACCATAACTGTTTGTTTGTCTTGCAGCTTATTCAGTATGCAAGTCAAACATGCTAACTTCATTACCCATGTCCTAATGTGGAATGATACACTCCAGAAAGAAGCCCTGTGTGCTGTCTACTGAATTCTTGTTTTTAATTTACTAGACTCCCTTAATAAATATAAAATACACTCTTTTCTAAATAAAAGTCTCAGGGCACTTTCTACAACAGATTGTTAGAGTTTTTAGAGTAAACAGCCTCTGAGGAGAACAGCAGAATCAGGAAATACTCCTTTTGACATAAAATCATATGAGCCATTTTCTGTCTCTCATTTATTAATGATACAAAAGGCACTTCTCAAAAACAGTTTACTGCACTAACAAGAAATACTGGCAAAATAATTGATTTCTACCTGTCTTGTGTTTTAGCAACTGGAAACCAGCAGCACGTAACCAAACCAATTCTCCACAGACTAACAGCAAACCCTGCATGTTTTAAGAAATGTTCTGATTTATGTAGTCTGTCCTTTAGAATTACTTCTGAACATAACAGATGAAAAAGAAGGAAAGATTCGCAAAGCTGAACAATGGGATAATAAGCCTGTGAACAACCAGGCAACTTAAAAGTGAATCCATGGGAGGAGAGCATGATGTCATCTTAAACGGGTTGATCTAAATAGCCAACCCTTTGTAACACTCAGGATTCTATTTACACCACTTCACAGATACAGCTTAAGGCATTTTATTCAGAGGTAGTGGCTCTTCCTTTTGTGTTGATGTGTATGACACATTTCAGAGACATTATTTTGTAAAGAATTTTTGCAGGGTTTATGCAGCTACAGTTTTTATGCAGGATATTTTCTTACAACACGCCAGGGATGACCACTACAGTGTATCAGCTGATACCAAAATAATAATAATAATATATCTTCCACTTACACGGCTCAATGTCAGAAACAACACAAATTTAGGGCAAACTGTTCTTCAGGTAGTAAAAAGCCATAGACAGCTTTAAGAAGTAACTAATTGAAGCATCTATTTTTAATTTACTGTGAAACTCACCTCTGAAATCCCATCAACAGATTTTGCATTTCCTGTAGTTGTGACAGAAGTCAATGACCTTAAAATGTTTTCACCTCTCAGAAGTTGTAAAGGTTCAAGCAAAAAATGTCTGCTTAAGCAAAATCTTTACGTCATAATAACTAACCCAAATCTGTTACCCTCTAGAACATACACACAAGTCGTCAGTAATTTGAAGAGCTGCCTAACAGCAAGAAATTCACACCCTTGAGGCAGAAGCACCACATAAGACAGTGTAGTTATAAAGAAAATTCAAACTTGGATACACCAAAAAACCAAGACAGCCCAGTCCTTCAACTAGGAAGGGTCACAGTCCAGGCTTTGGCCATGTGAAGAGTCACTTTATAGAAGCTAAATTACAAACTTTAAAATACAGATGGAAAGGAAGGAAATATCCTTGAATACTCAGGATACATCATTACAAGGAACCCGAAAACTGAACTCACATTCCTGTGAGTCCTGTGAGCAATTATTTTTTTAATAAATTATAATTTCCTTGTAAACTTTGTATTCAAATGCAGAAATCATGCTTATTATTATTATTATTATTATTATTATTAATTAAATACTGATAACCTGCTTTTAACAGCTGATAGTACAGTAAATAATTTAGTGAGTTACATATTTCTTCTCCATGTCTTTGGACATTGTTTTAAATTTTATATAGAATGCTTATCTTTTCCTTCTAGTTCTAGACTGACCACACCACCTGCCCCTCTCTAATGTAGACCACTTAAAAATACAGATGCTTTACCTTAGTAACAAGACTGCATCCATTAACATGGATGGAACAATGGAACATGATTTGTTACATTAACGTAACAGGATCTAGGGAGAAAATTCTAACTGGCTAACAGGTTTAGCAACATATTTCTGATTTTGGTTTTAAATCAACATATTGATGCTTGAATTAAAGAAAACGTGGCATCCTGTTTCCATAGAAGATGCATTTTTTAACATCTTTCAGTATAAAAATACATCGACTTTAACTAAACTGTCCTTCATTTCTCAGAGTATCACAGAGTGGCCTTAGTGATATGAAAGGGTTAATCACTGCTTTCACTTACACCCAGACAACTTTAATGAGAGGGAATACTGCAGCAACATCTATGAACACACTGACCACATCAGCAGAAAGACAGTTATGAAATCCCTGCCAACAGTACTTGTACTGGGATTTTTTTCTGTTTGTTCTAATCAAGATCCAGAAATCTTACAAAGTTCTGCTGCTTGGGGTATTTGCAGAGCGCTGCAAAAAATCTCTAGAACTAGGCAGCTTTAGGGAGTGTAACATGCAATAGTAACCATGACGATAAGAAAAACGCTTTTGCTAATCTTTTTCCTTCAGTTGACAATACTTTCAAATACTGGTGTTTTTCCACTGGATTACCACTTTTGTTTATTGCTCCCTGCGAATCCAGGCCTCCCATCCTTGTAAACCTGAAACTTCTGATCCAATGCACAGCAATTTTTGGGTGCACTAATTAACACAGAATGAGTCCTAACCAGTCCAACACCATCTGAAAAGACTGTGGTAGGATGGACATCAGCAGTTGGCAAACTATGTCTTATTTCACTGCTGCACTGAACAGGTATTGCAAAAAATTATTACATTTTTAAGACAATTACTTTGCAAGTAAATGGGGAAGCTAAAAAATAACAAAGGCAGAATGCATATAGGGTATTTCTATGGAGATCATAAAGCTGCTGAGGTAGCTTACAATTTGGCCCTGGGCAGGCTGATCATAAATTTTGAGAAAACTGCCTGGAACTCCTCTGCATTGATTTTGTCTTCACTTTGTATTAAGTTGGAGTTTTAAGCAATAAAAAATAAAGATTATTCTGAGATTAATCTTTGCACTCTCCCATTTCTCCAACAGAATTGCCCCAAAAATCAGGATAATGCTTTCAAAAGATATATGGGATGAGGATCTGAAGTCACATTTTGAAAAGTGACTAAAGGGACGATTTTCAAAAGCATTAAGATACCTAGAGATGCATTAAGCACTTAGAATTTTCAAAACTGCCTGGGCATCTAACGCCTATTTAAATCACTTAGTCCTTTCTGAAAATCCCGATGGGCAGTTACCTACATTTTATGTATCTATAGGCCTTTGAAAATCTCTACCATTAAATACTTAACAACCTAAGTCCCCGTGGCTTTTAATGGGACTTTGAGCCCTAAAAAGTGTAAGTACATCTGGAAATTGGTCAAGCCACTCTCTCTGGTCTTCTTTTCTTTCTCTTAAAGAGCCATCTACTAATGGTGATCTACAGCATGTCAGTTAACTACACTTCAGCACTGTCCAATTTACACACTCTACCGTGCACCTTCAATTTATGTAGTTAAACAAATAAATGTCCTGAGTACAGACTGCATCCTCACAAGACTTCCTGAAACTCCTAAAAAGAAATTCTACTCCAACCTGTAACCCCAGTGAGTGCTAATCCTCCCCCCCCAAAAAAATATAGTGTTTTCAATCAATATGATCCAGAATGAGTATAATTTAGGCAGATAAAGAACAAACGTCACAGTTTAATCACCAAGCAACATATTCAAAATATGATAAAAAGGTTCTAAAAGACAGCCATACATCAAGGAAAAAAAAAAAAAAGGCAGAAAAAGGAGGAAGCTGTGAATAGGCTCTTTAAACAGGCAGCAGTTCCAGAAAAGAAGACAAACCTTAATTCTGAATTTTGTTTTAAACAAAACTGTATGAAACTATAAAGCATTCCCTTATGCAAATATTAGAGAGATCTATCTTCTGATCTTCCCTCATGTCAATAGGAGGTAACTTGCACTGACCAAACTCCCAAAAAAGAACTGATTTGTAAATTGGGAACGCAGGGAATCAGATTGCCACCTACAGGAAAATTTAGCATTTATTGTCAAGAATGACTCAAGAAGAATACAAATTGCCATCCTGCCAAGCATTCTTTCAGATCTAACTATTATTTCAAAACCAATTAGTCTTTTCTTTTGTGCAACTATATCATGAACTTCCTAAATCCAGGAAGCCATTATCATTTCTTTTCACTTATGACAGTAGTGCTTGAAAGTTCCATAATTCAAATAGAAAATCAAGTATCAGTTAAAGAATGTTAAATCTGCTTACCTGATACCATTGGTGCTAGCCTGAATATGTCTGATAGTCTGCTGTTAACTGGCTCATAAGGGGAATCTTCAAGCAAGTCATTTCCTAAGGACAAAAAAATATTTGGATTTTTTTCTTATACAAGAACTCAGGGTAAGCTTTTGTTTGTTTACTTTTACTCTGTAACCGCAAAATGTACTCCCCTACAACCTGTTTAAGTGGCTACTTATCTATAAAAACACCTGAAAGAAGCTGTCACTAGATCTTTTCTCTCCTTCCTCCTTGGATAAGGTCATAATTTTCAGAGACAGCCTGTGACATCATAGGGACTGTCCCATCTCATGCCAGCAGGAAAGAAGCAAGGGTGTCCCTCTTCATTCCCCCTCATGGCAGAGCTGTTTTTTTAGAGAAGCCCAGGTAACAGCCAAAAACTAGTATCTTTGGAACTAAACACTCCTAACAAGATACTAATGGAAGATGAACTTTTTATGATGCAGAAAAAAAGGGAGTTAAATGGAGACCACACTGAAATGAAAGACTGCACCTTCACCTCCAGGGCCACAGCAAAACAGGGCTAAAAATGCTGTCTCTCAAACGAGGACCTGACTGTTCTCAATATACTATGGGAAATCTGCAAGTGATATGAAAACAGAAGCTACAAGTCAACCAGTGTCACATCCCTTCTGACTGGCACATCTAAGTCCTCCAGGATCCATAAACTTGGGGGGTTGTTTCTGCCTCAGCATGCCCAGGGAAATACAGGAAAGGAAAAAAATAAACTTTTCCTTAAACCAATGCTCCATATTACATTTAACTTTCAGCAAAAAGCTAAGTAACTACTCCCAGCGTCCTGTGATCTTGTTAGGTGAGTCCTAATTAATGAGTTCTAATACTATCAGGAAAACGCCTCCAAATGACTGTTTTTGTGGCTCTTGCACATGCTAGTGCCCTCATCTTTCGACTCTGGTTTGGAAAGGTCAGCTGGGTCCCCTGGAGGAAAACTCTCATTGTGGATTTCCCAACAACAGGAGACGGAGCAGCAGCTGGCCTTGAGGCGGATGAAAGGTCCTCAGTCCGCAGCTGAAGAGCACAATGCGAGCTCCGGGGTCAGAGCCCGGGGTGGGCTGAGCCGCGGGTGGGAGCGGCTGCGAACCCACACGGGGGGGAGTAGGGCAGCTCTGTGCTCTGCCACGTACCCTGCAAGCTCTGGTACATGCTCCAGTAAATGCGCAGGCAGTTCTTCTCCTTCTTCATGCCCCTCTTACAGCGGCAGTTGTAGAGGGATTTCTGCTTGAGGGCTTCCATGGCGCTCCTGCATTCGTCCTTCGCCTCCAGGCCCGTGGCCCGGCTGAAGTTGCTCTCTTTGCCGGCTACACACTGCCTCAGTGTCCTGTACTTAGTACTACAGCTCTGCTCCTTCAGACACTGATCGCTGGCTTTCACGCAGTCCAGGCGGTCCCCTCCAGGCAGCCCGCTCACTTCTGCACACAGAAGTACATCTACAGAGAGGAGACACAAACCAACAAACACTCCTTGAGGGAGGAGGCGGATTTAACCGGGGCTCCAAAGCAGCATCTGGCAAGCACCGGGCACCTCCTTCACGCAGCACATGCAGCCAAACCCCACGGGCAGCACCTCTGCAAACCCGGCTTCACGCTACCCCTTAGGAAAAAAAAAAACCACACAGGGTTTATATCCACTTTTTGGGGAAGTCCAAGGAAAAGGTCAGTTTTAACCCTGATGGTGTATTTATTTATGAGGAAACACAAAAACGAAAGAAAACCCACAGGGGTTAATGTGCCTGACAAAACGGGCATACGTTATTCCATAGATCCACTTTGGTGAAACAAATCAGCTCTCCATCCGAGGGTTTAACTGAGGGGTTAAATATTCAGCCTCCCTTTCCACAGGAGCTTTGCTGTAATTTCAATTACATCCACGAACAGCCCGCTCAGAGAGATAAGTATCCTCACTGATTGATATTAGCCTGTCTTTGCGTTACTTTTTAAAGGCTGTACACATTTTTGCTTATTCTATATGTATAAAGGTAGCATTTATTACTCTTCTCCCCCTCTCTTCCCCCCCCATTTCTCTCCACGCATGATGCTTTTGCAGGAGAACAAAGCAAATTACATTAACTCTCTCCTCTCCATCGTGCCCCTGTCGTGCTCCCTCAGACACATGCGGATGGCAACGCAAACATCTCCTGTGGAAAGAAAACCAGTTTGGGCTGTAAACCACTAGCAGTCGGGCAGGCTGCCAGATGCAGGTGAAGATGTAATCCTTCAGCTGGCTCTTGTCACCCCCCACCCTCCCCAGGCAGCGTTATTTTATTTAAATGAAAAGTTTCCCTGTAACTTGCGAGAACCCAATTTAACAAGAGGCAAGACAGGCAAGTACCGAAGTCTGTAACCTCACAGAGCTTTAAATGTGGACCGGGCTAACTGATGTGAGACAGAGCCATAAAAACTACTGGAAACTTCACTGTTCTGCCTAAACAATAGACTGACAACCGTCAGGCTCCCGATCCCATAAACCCTACGCTTTGCTTAATGAAGCGATGTACAGACCGAAATCAGGCACCAGCAACTTACCCACTAAGGGCAAAGCGAAGTACAGGAGAACGAGAAACATCTTGCTGTCTTCGGATGGTTTCCCCAAATAACTTGATGTGTCACAATAAAAAGGATCAGCATGTAGATATTCCAAAACCAGCGAGGTCCAAAGGCTCCAAGTTCAGATCCATTGAATGGGGGAGAGCGGGGGGGGTATAAAAAAAAAAAAAGAAGGAAAGAAAAAAAGAAACCAAATAACACAAACCCCTCTTCTCTTCACCGCTACCACCACCGGCGGCAGGAGCAGCGACGCAAACGCTGATCTTTTCCCTCAGATTTCAGGTCTGAGCAACCTGCACGCACCAGCAGTGACTCCCGTGCGGAGCGAGAGGCGCACGCACGGGTGTATCTGTGTGAGTCTGTGTATGTGTGAGTGTGTGTCTGTGTCTGTGCGAGCGGCAGCGGGGCAGGAGCGCCGGTCGCCTCCTTGGGTGGGCAGCGCCTGTTCCCAGGGAGGGACCGAGAGCAGAGGGGGGCGGGCGGCAGGGAGGGCGGGGGGCACACCCGAGACTCGCAGCTCAGCCCCGCACCCGCTGCTCCCCGATCTCCCCCCACACCGAGGCAATTCGCCCCTTCAGCCCCCCCAGACCGCAACTTTACCGCCTGTCGGGGCCGGGGCGGTGCGGGGGGCGCGCAGGCTGCGCGGGGCGCTCTCCGCCGGGGCGGGGCGGGGCGGGGGTGGGCGCGGGTGGCACCGCCGGCAGCGGCGGCGGCCAAAGTTTGGCGGGGGAAATGGGTACGGGCTGGAGGGGCGGCCCCTCCGGTTCCGCCGCCCAGAGCGGAGCCGCAGCGTTTCCGAGCGGTCGCTGAGCGCGGCGGGGGAGAGGCGGCAGCCCCAGGGATGACCCGGTCCCCGCCCGCCCTCCGCGGGTGATCGGCGGCCACGGCCTCCCTCTGCGGGCCCCGCCGCCCGCGGGGGAAGCCCGGGGCGTCCCGCAGCGACCCGGGGGCGGCGGAGGCACCGCCCGTCCCTCCTCCGCATCCCTGGTTGGGGCGGGCGAGCCCCGCGCTCGCCGAGTCGGGACCCGCATCCCTGCGGTGCGTCGTGCGGTCCAGCCCTCGGCCGAGGCCGAGCGGAGTGTATCGGCTTGCACTTGGCTCCTGAATAAACAAAGAGAACATATGTCCCATATTCGTGACAGATGGTTCAAACAGAGAACTATTTAGTGGTTTTCCCCCCAGTTGCTACTATGTACCACTCCCCCGAAACCCAACAAAATGCAATTAGCCTGAAATAGCATCAGTTTCCAGATTTTCTTGTTTTCATATGTGGAAAATTTGATTCAGGTGTTTTTATGTTCGAGCTGCAACCAAATGTGTTCAGTTGTTTGGGTTGGTCTTTTTTTTTTTTTTTTTTTAAAGTCAGTATATATGTTCTTGGCAGTTTTGTCAACAAGCTATTTGGCCCATTTGACTTGAGGAATTTGCCTCTCCTCGCAATAAATTTTGCCTAAAGGAGTTTGCCTCGCCTCATGAGATGGGAGATGATCAGGCTGGCCACTTTTACAGCAAAAACTGGATGGCAGATGGAGCTAAACTGTTGTGAGGTACTTCAGAAACACTTATTTAAAAGCTTAGCATATGCCAGGATATACAGAGAGTGCAACAGTCACAGAAGGGGCTTTTTTTAACCCAAAAAAACCTGCACAGAGTACTGGTTCTTCCGGCAAAGTTTAATAGTGATGTCAAGTTGCAACTGATTAAGTCACAACTTTCGTGTTTTGGTTGTTTCAGAAGAAGAGGCCCATACCATTATATGGTCACAAAATCTATTATCTGCTGCTCCTACAAGGACAGAACTGGAGAAACAAACACGAAGACCAGATTTCTAGAATATTTCAGGGTAATTAGAAGGTGCTAAGGTGGTGATAGCATTGACGATCCAAGACAGCTTCAGCCTTTCAAGTAGCTGGTATTTAATGAAAGGAGCTGGCCTCACAAACACTTCAATATAAATTGAACTGGGTGATACAGAGATGATTACTTCTTCGCTGGTAATTTTGACACCATTATGGCACATGATAAGCTTTGTATAGAAGTTATCTGTATATCTAATATAAAGGTAGCATAATTCTCCTGTTATTTAGAAGTCTACATCAGAAATAGCTGCACCATTCACAGCAGGGTATAGCAACTGAAAATAAGACTGAAATCCAGGCCACTTTTTACAAAATCATTCATCATTTAATGTCCTGAATACTTATATGCACACACACACAAACACACAAGTTATCTGGCCTATAAAAGCAACACATTGCAAATCTCTGCATTAATAGCTACTTCTGCTGCTGTAAAACAAAGATTTTGTGGGGTGATTCAGAAATAACAAGACAGCTGGAAAACACGCATCCAAAATTCTGAATATTGCCCCTAAACACTCCTCCTGCCAGTATTTTGACTCATCTCTGGACAACTACCACCAAAAGTGAGAAAGGGTTAAAATGTTTTCATCAAAAAAGAAGTTTAAAAGGCAAAACCACGTTTGAAAAACTAAGTCCAAGAAGAAAGTTCACGCTACATACGGTTGCTCAGAATATCCACCTGCTGCACAGTCTTTAACAGGACCACAGGTGCGAAAAAGCTTCTTGAAAATCACAAGGACATTTGTTCCACAGCAGAAATTACCTTTTTTTACTTATTTATTTATTCCCAGTATTTTTTAGGTAGTCCTCATCCTTTCCATTTATGACCAAACTAATTTCCATGTCCTGGAAATTACTTGTGAGACAACACTACTACTTTACTCTCTCTCTCTCTCTCGGATCTTTGTGGTTTTGGGTAGCTGAAGTCACTTGTGTGTTGGACTGGTTTCCCATTAACACACAAGGTATGCAGCTTTCCTGAACTGAAGTGCCATGTTGTATTAGTATTGTTTATGTATGGTGTGCCACAAATTGTAGCTACAAATCATTATCAGTTTTTTCAAGACTTTAAAAATACACCAGACAAAACCCCACCAGCCACTCTGTGGCTGGAGTCATAATCCTTCTGCTCTTTGCACATTGTTTTTCACTTGCCTTTTACATCCTCTGGGGTAAAATTTAGTCAATGGATGCTTCGCTGTTGATTTCAGTCAAGCCAAAGTCCACCTTGCAATTTGTATCTGTCAATCACTCAACCCACGAACTTCTTCAGTCAAATGAAGAATAAAAGAATAAGCCATACAGAAGAAGTACCTACAAGAAACATTTTAAAGATATTTAAGATTTTTTAATACTCTGTTGATCAATTACAATTAATATAACATAACATATAAGGTAGAGGTGGTAAGGAAGCTTTCATTAGAAGCAAGGTGACAACACAATCACCACTGAATTACAGTTTAAAGGCCATCTCAGTATAAATAACGTGGAAGACAGAACTATAACTACTTCAAGCTCCTTGCTGCCAGCATTAACTGCTGGTACTTCAGTATTTAAGTAGTCTTAGTTACTGGGTTCTTTCTAGTTGGAAGCTGGTTTACAATAGCTGGTATTCTTTCCTTGGAAACTTTTCATGAAGACAAGACAAAGTAATGAGGACTGTGGGGTTATTTGATACCAAAGCTTCAGTAAGAGACAGTGCTTCAAACACTTTTCTCTCCAAGTAGGTTGAGGTAAGTGTAACCCCTAACACTGGTCAGTTTTAAGCTCACCTTGCAGCCTGGTCCCAAATGCTCTGAATGAAGTAACAGCATCAAGAAACAGCAACCTGTAATCAGGACCACCTGCCCCTTGAGGCCAGGGAGACACAGGGTGTGAAGCCAGAACACGAATTTTGCTGCATTCAGTTTTACTGGATGTCCTTCTGCCTCGTCCTTTGCAGGTAAACAGGGGGTTGACAGCAAACTCCTAGAAGGGCATCTCGTGCAAAGAGACCTGACTCAAAACACAGTGGATGTTGTTTTGCAGCCAGTTCCACTTGCAGAAGCTGTGGTGTCGGAGCCCTGCACTGGGTTGGCCTGGCTGGCAGCAGTTCAGGTGACAATGTACCCGGGAGCGTAAAGCTGAATTAATACCTTGCCTGGTCCACACTCAGCCTGCAGATTCCCTTTGCCATCTGTGCCATGCACCTCATTCTGAGGACTGAACTCTGCAAGAAAATATTGAAGTTGGAGTCAGTGAGCCCAGGGAACATTACACAGTATTATCTGCAGGGTCGGTAGGTATGGGAAGAGAAAGTATGCTGAGAATAAGAACAGTGCCATGAACTTTAAATGTAATTCTTTTGGGAGTGAATAGGGGAAGAAAAGCTAAAGCTGAAGTAATGAGTCAGATCTAGCAGGTGGGGCAGAGCAAGCAACTGATGGGAAAAAGTCTGTGTGCCATGGGAGCACAAAAAGTAGTGTTTACACAGGAGGCTTTATTCAATAATGAGAAAGGGAGAATAGAGAAGTTAGAGAATTACAAGGGACTGAGGGAACAATCTGAACTGCCTTTTTTTTTTTTTTTGTCTTACATTTATCTGCTTACCATGAAGTCAAAGTGCCTTGTGGTGGGAATAAGGCAAGAAGGATTTGCTCAAGGCATTAAAGTTTTGTAAAGGGCAGATTAAATAACAGTGCTCCAAAAATCAATTTTGAGGGGCTTATGAAGCCTTGAATGGGCTTTTGCAGCACAAAAGCAAGATTGAGTTTTTACTGAACCCGTCATTTATTTGGGTTTAGAGCTTTCAGTAAGTATCAGAGAAAATATAAAACAAAAGCAAAGTAAGCAATGAGCATTCACACAGCAATCAAATAAAAAACACGTGGAAGTGCAATCCAGATCACAAAGTGATTTGATTGATGCAAAAGTGTAAGAAAAGAAATTCATCATGTGCACACCACACCCCCTGCCCCTGCTTTAAGCAGACCTGAGAGTGAATTCCCAAAACTGACTATTCTCAGCTGTTCTTGTCCAGGAAGTTTTTCCTAAACTCTTGCTTCCCTGTCCTTGCCAGAGGTTGGTGTAGTAACAGGCCACCTGGAAGGAAACAGAAAAAAAAAAAGATAAAAGAAAGAAAAATAAAGCTGCAGAATTCCTCTGTGAATTCATGTGATATATGACCTGAGTATGATTTCAGTAGAAAAGATACATAAACACTAAAACAGTAGAATGCAGTTCAGAGTTTCTGGTGAAGAAACTTAACCAATAAAGTGTGAAAATACAGACAGAACTGCAGCCACTTGTGAAGCTCTGTATCTTACAGAAATTATTCCATATAGCTCTAAATACTGATATCAAGGCAGAGACACTGATGTTTGCCCAAACTAGTAAGGAAAGAGTTGTTCGGACAGACCAATCCTTGCATCCCTCGATTGCTTGCTGTTGCTTTAAAAATGGGATAATACCTCCCCCTGGCTGTTGGTGGGGACAATGCAGCATAACGTGGGAAAGGATTCCTGACTCCTCAGCAAAACAAGGCTCCGAATTCCATGGCACAAGAGGATACAGCCATCAAAGAGACTCAGTGTGACGCAGCTAGGTTAAACTATAAAAGACGACCAAAAAATG